AGACGGCATCACAGTATGGTGAGGGGTGTAACATTTCCGTCACACGCTTGAGGAATTCGTCCAATCACAACGCACTGGATAGCTGGCCAATCAGAGCACACCTCGCTTTTCAGACCGATGAGCTTTGTAAAAATCGACGCGTTTCAGAAAGGCGGGGCATAGAGGAGAAACAATAATGTACAGTATGTGGAAAATAATGTGTTTTTTTAACCTTAAACCGCATAATCACATTGCATTACACCAAATACACAAAATAATGTTCTTTTTAGCAACATCATATAACCCCTTTAAACCTGTTAATTAACAGTTAATTTGAAAAAAAAAAAAATTAACTGTTAAAAAAAAGTTAATTATACAGTTAATTAACATAAACTGTACACACACAAAAAAGGTGAAGATAAATTATATCCATATCATTTGAAATTTCTATACCCTTATAGGACTGAATAATATTCATGCTTAAGAGACAAAAATGACTGTGAATTAAAACTGCAATATGTGTGTTATTTTGCATTATAAAGCGGATCAAAGTTTTCACAAATTATTGACCATAACTAACCAATGATGCACAGGCCTTCTTGTGCCCTGGTAATGCCCACGTTAACTTGGTGTGGGTCCATGATGAATCCAAGTTGTTTCATAATCCAGGATTTGGTTGGTTGTTTTTCTATTTCAGATTCGGGACAAGAGCGCACAGTTGATATGATGACATATTTCCATTCACTTCCTGTGGCCAAAGAAACAAATGAGAAAAGGTCAGAAATAATAAGCTGTATTGACATGTCAATACAGTCAAAACATTCAACTAACTTGGAAAGTACGAATGCCTTGAATGTCCTTAGTTGTGTCTTAAAAAAACATAAAACCATGGAATTCCTTTATATGTTCATACATGCATTTTTCTAATTTCTAAAAGAGAGCTAAATAATGGTTAGTTTTAATGTACTGCCATGGGTTCCATTAGTAGACTCACTGATGTGAAATGGCATTTGTAAAAATGTTTTTACCTTGACTCCTCATGATGGTGTTGACTGTGATATCACGTATACCCTTATCAAACAGGAGCTCATTAATACTTGCCACTTGAGCATTGTATGGTGTGAGAATGGCAATGTCCTTTGTGTTTATCCCAGCCTCAGTCAAAAGAATGGCAATCCGCACCTGTAGGAAGTTTATTACAATTATTTATCACATAAAATAATAATAATAATAATAATAATAATAACAACAATAACAATAATAATAATAATAATAATAATAATATACAATGACTTTTTTTCTAGCTCGTGAAGACGGCGCGGTCACGTGATACCTCTTACTTTCGATTCATGTAACAATTAATATACATTTCTTAAATTAAACGGTACTTTCTATTATATAAACATCTCCAATAACTTCCATTCGTGACAAAAACGTATTGAAATTTGAATGTTACGAAAGAGAGCGCGCTGCTGGGAGGAGTCTTACGTCTCCTAGGAAACTTAACTGCCAACATTTGCCGCCCAGCGTCATTGACCGATGAGAAGCTGGAAGGAGAGCGTAAATCTAACACTCTCTGTATCAGATGGGGTTATTTGGTAAGTAAGTTTATTAATATCAATGTTTTGAGAAAATAACATAATTTACACAGTATTTGTTCCATTATTTGCCGCAAATGTTAAAGATGAATAACCTTGGTGTCAGGTTAAAATGACTATTTTCCCTCTTAGACCGTTTTGTAGTCAGTGAGCGTTCCGAATCGCAAGATGGCGCCAATTAGCTTTTCTAGCTCGTTTTGTCATGAAAATGTAGAAACCGTGGAGTGAAAGACAAGTAATAGCAGCAGCATGTGAAATATCCACATTAGTGATCATCAGGAGCGCTTCTATGGTGCATATTTGGGGCTTAGCAGACCTTTATGGATGTATATGGATAATAGATGCATCCTTCAATTAAATATCGGAATAATATGCTATGTGTGCAGGAGTTTTGTGTGTAACATAATAGGCTATACATTTTAATTTACACTATAGCCCAAAAATACATTTTAATTCATCTACTAAAGTGCTCTTACCACTTCTTTTGCCTCTTCCACGTTTGCCTTTGAATTTTCATTCCCCCGTTCAGTCCGGACCACCAGACTTTTCTCCTTTCCTTCAACATGACCAAAGACAATGCATGTTTTCCTTGATTTACTTAGGAAGAGACTTGGTTTGGGTGATGTTCCAGTTTTTAACTTTCCTTTATAGAACTCCTTAGATGGAAATGCACAAATGTCTTCTTGCTGTAAGAGACAAGATATTTAAGAATTTTTAATTTTAATTAATTTTAACTATAAAAATAGAACTACTGCGGTTTAATTGTTTAGATCATTGTTTTATTTTACTGGATAATAAATACTACTGCTGATTGAAAATTATACGTTTACATAAAAAAAAAAAAAAAACAGAGCTGCCATGATCTAAAGAACAGTAAAAAGAACAGTAACTGACATAAATGTTTAGAAACAAATACAGTAGTAAAGCTATAGTGTGATAATTTAATACCATTCTGTACTGAGTGTCAAGCAAGAGTGCTTTCTCCATGTAACGTTCAAAAAGAGATTTGCTCATTCCCAATCGCTCCACCACATCACAGTGGATTACAGGTTGCAGCTGCATATGATCGCCCAGAAGAACAATCTACAACATGAAATTAGTAGGATAAGAACCTACAAGTAGATTCAGCAGTAATGCAAGTTGTGGTCAATGCAATTATAATTTAAATAGAACACTTTTTGGTTTACCTATAATGATGTGAATGTTAAGCTACAGCCTCCAGTAACCTTTAATATGTGTTAAACAATCAATCCATGCTGCTACTGTCCAGGTTTAAGTGTTTGTCTGAAACGAAAAGTGTTTTGGAATCGTACAGTACCTGCTCAGGCTTATGAGCCACTAGTGGAATAAAGGCTTCAGGTTCAGTTGCCATGGCACATTCATCAATGATGATCTGTTTGAAGTCGAGGGCATCAGCTAAGGCAGGATGTGAGGCTGCTGTGCAAGTGCACAAGATGACATCATGCCGCAGTAATTCATGTTTTCGAGCCTTTTGGAGGGTTTCTCTGTAGCTTTAAAACAACAACAACAAAAAAATTGTTTTGCAACTTTTGTGAACTTTAAATTAGCTTTTCATTTCTATGAAATTGTGTCCAAACAATACTTACAATTTCTTTTCTTCTTTAGTGAGTTCATCTCCTCTTCCAATTTTCAGATCAAAAGCGAGTATTTGTGTGGAGAATGGGTTGCCATCTTTTCGAATCAGGTGGTGAAGTGCAATGGAGCTAATAAAATGACAGCAATACATGTCATGCATACACACTACATTCGTAGTTAGTATCTACACTAAAATAAGTGATAGATGGACAGTATTTGGCAAATACCTAAGCTCTGTGTTGGGTTTTTCGCCTCTTTTTGAATTGCGTGACTGCTTCAGATTGCAGCCTGGGTAAGGAAATTCCAACATCTCCATCTGATTACTGTAGACTCTGAGAGGTCTAAGTTGATTTCGAAGTTTTAGGAGATGACCTGCAACACATTTGTTAAAGTGCAGTAATGTTGGTAATGTGATGCTATTTAAATCTGAATTGTGTAACTGCTGCGTTACAAGTGGCACATAACTAAATGTCATACTGAAGACAATCACTGGCTATATGGAATAGCATACTAGATACTACCACATTCTTACTAATTCTGCAATATTTACTGTGCATATTAAATGTAAAATTCCTGAATAATATCTGAATAATCTACTACTTTTGCCAAAAAATTATGGACTATATAATATAAGTAAAACACAGAATATTATTATGACAGGTGCCATTTACTGAATTAAACATGCAATTGTGATAAGGTTATGTGACAACAATGTAGCACACGTCAAAAAATTTTTTGTTGTGTAATGCATTGTTTTCACTTGTTTTCTAAAAACAAAACAAAACTAAATATTAGGCAAGCATTGTCACGGTGTGCCTACTGTGAGGAGCGAGGAACGAGGAGAATGCAGGAGAATCCAGTATTATCACAGACTTTATTTTACACCAAAAGAATCACACGTAGGACACGGGGATCAACGTACATTCAATACCGGACCAGGAACTAAAAACAGGAAATGCTTTAAATACACAAGACATGACGAGGGGATGACAAGAAAAACCTGGGAGCAATAACATAATTGCACATGAGGGAAAACTGGGTCATGGAACTAGGGAGCCATGGCGGAGCAGGCAGACTAGGAAGCCATGGTGGAGCAGGCAGACTAGGAGGCCATGGTGGAGCAGACAGACTAGGAAGCCATGGCGGAGCAGGCAGACTAGGAGGCCATGGTGGAGCAGACAGACGAGGAGGCCATGGCGGAGCAGGCAGACTAGGAGGCCATGGCGGAGCAGGCAGACTAGGAGGCCATGATGGAGCAGGCAGACTAGGAAGCCATGGTGGAGCAGGCAGACTAGGAGGCCATGGCGGAACAGGGAGCTTGGGGAGCCATGGCGAAGCAGACAGTTCAGGAGTTCCTCGGCACTCGGCCCGGCCTCCACAGATGGACCCCTACTAAACCCCCCCCCCAAAAAAAAATCCTTGGGGAGAATGTCGGTTTCAGACACCCTCCGTAGGCTTAACTTGGGAACTGTGTCCCTCACTGGGCTTGACTTGGGGACTGGAGCCCTCCTTGGGCTGGACGTGGGAACTGGAGCCCTTTCTGGGCTAAACTCGGGGACTGGAGCCCTCTCTGGGCTAAACTCGGGGACTGGAGCCCTCTCTGGGCTAAACTCGGGGACTGGAGCCCTCTCTGGGCTAAACTCGGGGACTGGAGCCCTCTCTGGGCTAAACTCGGGGACTGGAGCCCTCTCTGGGCTAAACTCGGGGACTGGAGCCCTCTCTGGGCTAAACTCGGGGACTGGAGCCCTCTCTGGGCTAAACTCGGGGACTGGAGCCCTCTCTGGGCTAAACTCGGGGACTGGAGCCGACACTGGAGCGAGCTCTGGAGCTAAGATGAGGGCGAAGAACAGTCTTTTTCTCCTCATCCTCCTCCTTTGGTTAGAGGTGAACGGCGCGACCGGTGGGCTTGACTTCGGAATGGCCGACAGGCTGGAGAGAGCCGTGGCTGGCGGGCTTGACTTCGGAGCGGCCAGCAGACTTGGGAATGCCGCGGCCGGCGGGCTTGACATCGGCGCGGCCGGCAGGCTTGTCTGCTGAGCGGCCAGTGGGCTGGTTCTGGCTCGGGGCCGGACGCTTTCCAGACACCGGAGGATCCCTTCCCTCCAGCTTAGTCCCGTGGTATCTGGGAGGTCCACGGGGCGATGGTAATTGGCCCCGTGCCAGAACAAGGAATTGATGGTGGCATCATCTAAAGCCGTTGCCACGGCGAGCCCGCAGAACTCCCAGGCATACTCGACGAAGGGGAGATCTCTATGGGCTAGTGCAATGAAGCGTGCCGCGATCTCCATAATCGCGGGGGGAGCAAATAAAAACAAAAACACTTTCAAAAACGGAAAAAAAACTTGGGGAGAAAAGGCACCGCTCACTTTATGTTCGGGTCCGGTATTCTGTCACGGTGTGTCTACTGTGAGGAGCGAGGAACAAGGAGCGAGGAACGAGGAGACCGCAGGAGAATCCAGAATTATCACAGACTTTATTTTACACCAAAGGAATCACACGTAGGACATGGGGATCGACGTACATTCAATACCGGACCAGGAACTAAAAACAGGAAACGCTTTAAATACACAAGACATGACGAGGGGATGACAAGAAACTCCTGGGAGCAATAACATAATTGCATATGAGGGAAAACTGGGTCATGGAAAGCGCGAGGGGGAGGAAAACACGGAACACAGGACTGACAAGTATTCCATTCTTAAAGTGCAAAGCAAAAATAAATAAACAGCAAATTTACCTGCTACGACATCAACAGATTTATTTGAAGGCCCAGAGTAAAGAACAGCTCTTGTCTTCTGTGAATTGGAGGCAGGACGTTTTTGAATATTCTTGAACAACCAGTACACAATATGGACACCAACAACAGTTTTTCCTGTGCCTGTGAAAATGCACAACACTCATTTAAAATGAAAGGACTGAAAATCAAGCACAATGGCCTTATTGATACCAAAAAAGTCTGAAAATATCTCTCACCTGGTGGGCCTTGGATAAGAGTGAATGGGTTGGCCAGTGCCTCTCTTATAGCTTTACACTGACTGTTGTTTAGATGGGAAAACCCAGAAGGAAGATAATTGTCAATCTCAAACCTGGCTGGCATCTGGCTCGAAAATTTTGTTCCTTTGAGGAGATTTAGTTTAGATTTAGTTAAACTACATTTGAAGAGATCATTTTGAAAAACATGGCTAGGAAATCACTAGTTCTGACAGTCTGAAATACAGAAATGCAAGATGTTATAAGGAGGCAGTCAGTCTTTAGTACCTCCTTCAGAGTTGATTCTTCCACCAATGGCTATAGTTTTCACAAGCTGGTTAGCTTTTGTGAGACTACTAATTGCATTTTCTTTGCGTCTGCAAAAGAAATAAAACAAACTCATAATTAATAAAGGATACATATTTACAGTACACATTTAGGGTGCTATAGTATCTAGAATTTGTAGTCTTACACATCTGGCAGAAGCTTTGGAATCAGCTCCAGAGTAAATCTTGTCCTCTCACCAAATATCGCTTCTGGAATTTTTGTCATGGGCATGTCGTTAATCTCAAAATCAATTTGCAAATTCTTCAGTTCTTTGGATCCTGTTTCTTTAACTTTTGTAATTATGCCATGGGCCATCCAAGTGATAGAGGAAATATCCATGAGAGCTGTGCACTGAGAGGGACTACTCTGACTTTGATGAAGCTTAGTTCGAATGCAGAGGACACTGTTCTTAAGGTCACATTCAATGGACCACTGAGATTTTTTGTCAAGTGGGAGAAGAAAGTAACCTTGAAGCTTCTTTTCACTAGAGTTTTCCCATTTCAGGGCTGCATCTTCAATAAGAATGCTCTCATTTTCAGCAACAGCATTGGAGGCTGACTCCATTTCACACATGGGTTTCCATATTCCCTGATAATCCATGTATGTCTTGTATGAATTCCTGGATGAGTGGAATGCATATTTTGAAAAACACTTGATTGGATCTCTCACATGCTCCAAACAAATCTCAAATTTTGGATGCACAACAAACAGCTGAATTGCTGGTGTCATTAGTCCTCGTACCGTGGCTGTACCTAGCTGTACTTCGACTGCCTCACCTGGCTTTATTCTCATCGACAGTTCGGCATAATGCTCAGCATGCATGGGATCAGATTTTTCTGAACTTTTAGCATTTCTCAGTCTTTCATTGAATTGTCTTGCATGGATTCTTGAGCTGACGTCAAGCTCCTCAATCAGGGGAAAAAATCTGTCCCAATTTTCCTCTCTAAGAGCAGCTGTTAGGCATTTCCAGGTCTTTGTAGAGACATAGGCCATGACTGAGTTTGGATTTTGTTGTTTCACTTCAGCAAGGATGTGAGGATTGGAAAATGAATATATCCTTCGCACCCATTTCAAGATCATGCAGTTGTTTGCTTCATCAAACTCTGGTTGATCTGCCAACTGAAGATCCCTGTACATAATGTCTAAGTTTTCTGATATTGAGGTTCTGTTAAGTGGGAAGGATAATCTGAAGTTTGTCCCTGATGCATTGAGTTCCACAATGTAGGCCACCTTCCTTTCGCTTTGGGTCGACAGTTGTAATGCAAAACGTAGAGCATTAGATTTCCTCTCATATGCTGACTGTTGGTCGTTTTTCCTGGAAAATTCCATACAAGACAGGTCAATGTCATGAGCTGTGTACCTAACATTTGTCTTGCCAATCACAGAATGAAGAAGACGCTGCACAATGACATCTGTATATCGGCGGATTGGAGATGACGCCCATGTATAGCTGTCAAGATCTAAATCATAGTGCCCAATTCTTGAGACATGTGTTGAGTTTGAGCGCAGAATACATGATTTGTGAAACAGTCTCCTAAATGCAACAGCAAAAGGGAGAAGTTGGGGGTGAATCTCATCAGTTGCAATAAAGTCAATTATTTTGTAGATATTTTCCTGCTCTGCTGCTGTCTTCAGGCATCTCAAAACAGATTTTAATATGGGGAAGGTTTCAGAATCAGAAATGCAAGCCTGAGGGTTTGTCATGGCTCTGCGGTGGATCAAACCTTGGTTATTCAGTTCATGAGACACACACTCATGAACTTGACTGGAGAAGTGAACAGAAAGTGGAATCAAGGAGGCATTTTTGTCAAAAAGGTCAGTAAGCTTTTCACTGTTTGGCCTGTCCTGGCACCTCACTGGAGTTATGCTCCTTGTTGTTTCATCAAGCAGAAGACGTTCAGCAGCCATGTGATTAAACATGATCATAATCTCTTCCACCATTAGGTGAGATTGTCTTCTTCCCAGAGTCACGTCTTCATCTGGCTGTTTGTAGTAGCAGTCGTCCTGTTTTCTCAATCTCCTGTGGACCTCAGCAAAGGTCCATGCTTTCACAAGGCAGATTTCAAGCTGGTCAGAATTCTGATGATTTTCAATGATGTCCTCAGCTTCATCATAGGAAAATTTCTTCTTGGAGCGAATGACAGACTTCCAAAATGAACTTTCCTTTATGCAGTGTGTCTTAGTATCTACTTGAATTATCAAGGAGATGGCTCGTCTGTCTTGGTTAGGGATTAAACTGAAGAAATTGGTACTCAGTTCTTTAGGGAACATGTGTATTGGCTCCTTCCCACTGGGATAGAATGTAGTACACAGCTGTCTTGCATATTTGTCCAGTTCACTGTCTTTAGCCACAAAACTTGCAACATCAGAAATGTGAACTCCTATTTCATAGCATTCACCTAAATCCCGTACACTGATTGCATCATCAAGGTCTTGTGAATCAGCAGCATCAATGGTGAATGTTGGGAGCATGCGAAAATCTCTTCGTCCTTTATTAAATGAATTGAGACCTTGAATGTCTTGCATCTGACTTCTCAAAGATGACGAAAATGTTCTCCTCAACTGGTACTCTATGTTGAGTATATTCAGTCCATTATCTAAAGTTGTGATTTTGGGAAACACTTCCACAACTGTCCCCAAGGGGATTCTGCCAGTCTTTCTCCACATAAGGACTCTGACAATGAAGATATATTTTCTACGTACTTCTTCATTTATTTTGATGAAACGCTTTACTTTGCGGTTCTCTGGATTTCTTACAGCAACGTGGTCTGGTTTGTCCTTTGAAAATGGTGTGAAAATTTTGGTGATGCATTTGTTGATAGGCGTCATCACCTGATTGTCATATCTTTCAATGGTGCAGACAAATTCTTTGACAGTATCCGCACTTTCAAGGATGCTGATCACTCTTCCCATGGGAGGATTTGATGTCTCACTCAGGATCTCCACTGTTACCTTGTCTCCAGGGAATGCCTGTCCAATATTTTTTCTACCCTTGATATCGATTCTCAGAGTGGGCTCATTAAGTGGTCTTGCATAGCCACGGTCATAATACTCTATGACCAGCTCACAGTGTTTGCGTATGATAGAGTTAGTCAACAGTTGCTCTTCTTCTACTTCTGCAATTTGGTTGCTAACACTACTAACAAATTGCTCATGTTGAAAAACTGGAAACAAGCCCTCCTCTGTCAATGGAACGTTGATGTCTTTGCTCTCATCAAGAAGCTCTTGAAGTATTGGGTCTTCTGTGTCTGGTATTTCAGATGTAGTTGATTCACTATCGCTGCTCTCTTCATCCTCACTTCTGCAGAGCTCAGATATCTCAAGGAGATCTTGTTTCAAAGAATCCAAGGTAAAGTTATGGGCACTTCCCTTGTTGACGCAATCCTCTATGTACGATCTCCATAGTCTCCAGCATGTACCGAACTGTTGGCAAGAAAGTGCAGCTACATCTCCAACAACAAATATTTGAGACTGGGCTCTTGTCATAACTGTGTTCAGCACTCGTGTGTCATTGAAAAATTCAAGACAGGTCCGGTCCATCTCCAATAAGCTGTCCTTGGTGTGCACAGTGGAAATCACTATTACTCTGAACTGTTTTCCTGCAAAATATAGGGAAAGGCAGTATGCTCTGTAAATCACATGCATTAATACTAGTGTGTTTAAACATAATCATGGCATAGTATTACATTTGAGTAATGAATCATCTTTACCTTGCACATTTTCGGCATTCTCCACAGTGAAACGTGGCAGTCCAAGCTGACGCAGTCTTTGCCTTATCTCAAACACCTGAAACACAAAACAGGCAAAAGCATCTGGTATAAACACTGACATAAATTTTATACAATAGCAGAATGCCATTATTTAAAGCAAATTAAGTTGGTAACAAAAATAGGTTTGATACCTGTCTGCCTTGAGAAAGTACACAGATTGATTCCGGATCTTTACCATCCCACTCCTGAGGCCATTGCTCCAATATATATTGCACAATGTCAACGACACTTAGAACTTGTGCTGGATTGAACCAGGACATGCTTGTTGGGTCCAAACAGCATTCTCCTCTTACATGATGGAACTGCAAGGCGTGTTGGTGTGGATGAGGAGGCACACCTCCACTAGCCTTGATCACATCACTCTTTCCCACATAAAAATGTGTTGATACAAAATCCACAATGTCCTTTGTGGAACGGTAGTTTTCATTGAAAATGATTCGGCTTTGTTTGGCGCCATCACTGTTTTCAGCTTGATAGTAATAGAAGAGGCGATTGAGCAGAGTATGTTCTGAGCATTTGTCTTGTTTCACAGAGAAGAGCTTGGGTCCCATCTGCATGTGGTCTCCTGCTAAAACAACACGTGTATTTTTACCTGCTAAGCCCAGTGCCATGAGAGCCTCACACTCCAACATCTGAGAAGCTTCATCAATCAGAATGTGGCTGAAGTAGTTTTCAGTGAGCTTCATGTCATGGAAGAAACGAGCCACAGCAGTTGTTGTTATGATGATTCTTGTGGAATCTAAAACAGCTTTATCAGGAAACTCAAACTGATTGCTATCTCTGGATAAATGGCAGTACTGTAGTGTGATGGTATCAGTAGATCTGGGATTGCTTTCCTTTGCCTTGATTCTCAAAGGTTTGGCTTCGTGATGAACAGCTGCATATTCATGAAAATGACCTTTTACATAGAGATCAGCAGAACTGTATCAAGAAAAAAGAGAAATAACTGTAGTTTACAATGACTGCATTAAACAATTAAATTTGCAGACACACTCGTTCCAAAATGACGGTGCCTTCAAGGTATGCATTTTATCAGTTTACGCATTCCCTGGGAATCAATTCCGTGACCTGGCCGTTGCTTGCACCTTGCTCTACTGTTTGAGCTAGAAGAATGCAATTAAAAAAATTTATATAAATAGGCCATTTCCCTGTTGAAAAGACTGTGCTGTGTTTTGGATGTTGGTGTGCCAGTGTTGCCACAAGACTTTTTAACTGTGCTAGGCCAGAAACAAACAAGCACTAACCAGCATGGAAATTCATATTATTCTGAGCTGAAGGATGACCTACTCCTGTGGAATACTTTGAAGTGCCACTGAATTCACTCTTTGCTAGGAGTTTGATTGACATGCGATCTGACCAATCATAATGCTGAATCCACCATTATGTCCGACAAACAAATCAGACAGGAGTGTTAGTAGATTAATGTAGGTGGACATTCATGTTTATTTCATGCTATAACTAGTAGTAAAGTGTGCTTGGTGCTTCAACAGAGGCGCTACAGTGATCTGTCATGACACATTAGAGAGCCACAAAATGGTAGGCTATAGTTTGAATTTCTTAAAAAAAAAGACAACATTTGAATGCTGAGACTTTGTTTCATACCAAATGTAACCTGTCTTGTTTTTCAGTACGTTGTCAGTGTCTTCTTTGCTCTGCAATATATTTTTCACTGCGTAAGAACATGATGTGTGACGTGAGAGTGCCATGGCTAGTTGGATGTAGTAACAGTAACTAAGGGGGACGGGTCTTTTTGAAGGGTCAATTGTGATTCCTTACCTGTTTGTGTGTGTGCAAATCAGGATTTTGTTCTGTGGTTGCTGCACAAGAGCCTGGATCATCTTGGCAAGGGTTCGAGTTTTCCCTGTTCCAAAAGGTCCATAAATCAACAAAGGTGGGATGCTGCATCTGTTGTCTGTTACACCCAGAACAAAGTTCATTGCTGCTTGCTGCTTTTCATTTAACTCTCCTGTATCTGACTGGGAAGAAATACAGAACTTGCTGTTTTTCAGATTAGGCAAGACTTTGTCTAAGTTGGGGAGATCATCAATGGCCTTGTGCATCTCACAGAACCAGAGACGATTTAGTTGGAACTGGACTTCCATCTCACACTGCTGTCCATTCTGCAGGTTCAAATCAGTGCAGCATTGTTTGGAAAGCTGCAAAAGTAATTGTGTCTCTGTGGCAGCGTCTTTCAGAAATTCAGCCTCATAAATAGGTCCAAGATATTCGTTGTTTTTCACAACATGAACAAGAGATCTGATTGTGTGTCTTTTCACTATGAAACCTTGAGGAGCATCAGGAGTGAGTGTGTGAGACAGAGGCACAGCAGCAAGAAGTGTCCCGGGATAAGCACATTTTAAACCAAACCTGTCATCAGACAGGCAATTTTGCAACTGCGCAGTCCCTCGTAGATTCAGCCTGGAAATATTTTGGGATAGGGAGAGAACATTAGAATTGTTATCAATTGTCAAGTATTGGATTTACACCTATGAAATATATTCATGTATATACCTGGTAAGCAGTTCACCTTCGACCTTTTGCTCCTGATATAAAAAATTGTGCATGCTGTGTTTGTAGTTGTCACGGTTAATCACACTGTTCATCTCATCTATCATGATGAGCTTGTATCTGTTTATCAGCTCTCTCTCTGCCTCTTCTCTTTCAACAAAAGGAATGATTTCCAGGCTTTCCTCATTCCAGGGCTCAAGATTCCTAGCAGACTCTTGTTTTTCTAGCAGAATCTCAGGTGCTGGGGTCGTGACTGATGTTCCCTTACACTCATCCTCTCCAACTCTGACCTTGATTTTTTGTCGTAGTACGGGTCTCGTGTTGAAGTCAAACACTACCCACTGCTCATACAAGCCTGGATGGTCAGATTTGAAGAACACTGGGATTTCATACTCTGCAGAAACAAATCATAATTTAGGTGAAAGTAATTTGTGAGCTTGGCAGTTGAACAATTAATAAGTATTAGTAAAAGCATGTCATAAGGTTTCTTTAAAGGTTTTGTAAGAAATAGTTAATCTTTACCGGTTTGGTTCTTTTTAAACCAAGCACTAGTGGAATATGTCCGTTCCTCATGGGGGTCTTTACTGAGGCTGAATGTCGCCCCCAGCTCCCTTCTGAGTAAAGCAATAACTTCTAGAGGTTCCTGGAGGGATTTAAGTCAGTTTGGAAATGCAGATCAATGTCATTTGCAGAGGCTATCTGACACACTGACACACACTTTCAGCTGTCTGAAAATGTTACATAGGTGCTCGGCAGATTACAGATCTAAAAAAACTGGATTATGTATTATACATTTATTGTACCATATACAGTTGGTAATAAAAACTGACTAAAAAGTTTGACAAGAGCTCGTTAACTTTTGCAATGATGGCTTGAATCTTTTTTTATGTCACTTTGGGACTTAAGAGTAAATTACTTTCATCGTTTAACTGATCAAGAAGTATAAACCACTGCTGAGTGGAACCCCATAATTCTTAAAACTAAGAGCAAATTTAGTAGTATTATCAGTAACTAGTACTACAATATTGTAACTAAACCAACTCTGTCATCATAACTATTTTTACTATTTTGGAAATTTAAGACAAACGTTTGTATATGTGTTAAATACAAACCTTAGAAATAATGATAAAATTCCATGTACATTGAATTCCCTTTTTCCTTACATACACACTGTCTATATCTGTGTCACAGCTGATAGAAACATCAGGAAGGGTGTCGCTGACCTGCAGGAATATTGATTCAATCACTGTTTAAGATATTGTAAAAAGCAATTTAAAAAATCCACAATTATATTCAAGCTTTGGTTGTAAATATATAATAAAAAAATTGCATAAGCCAATAAAATGTATTTGTTAGCATATATAACACAAGGTCTGGCAACATTTGGGATACTGTCCAAGAGCGTTACTCACTAATGACATTATACATTGTTCATTACTGAACGGCCCACTTACAATAATTTTCTTGTCGTTGCTGTGTCTGTATTCCTCCAAAAGCTTGTCCTGATAGGACAGTAGACCCATCTCGGCTGCATCTCTGGCTCTTTTTCGTGAAGCCTTGATTCTTTTTTGCCATTCACGAAGTTCCTCTTGACTGTGCGCCTTTGTGCAGTTATCACCATACTCGCATATTAGGGATCTATGGAAGAAGGTTTTATAGGCTGCTTTATCTTACTTTGACACAAGCAAACATCTAATGGCATGTCACACTTCATATAAATACCTTCCACACAATTTCAGGTCCTTGTATGTTGGTGGCGGATCACGGTACTTCCAAGTCTGATAGGTCTCATCAAAGATCAGTCTCCTGTGCTTCACAGTGAAACAGTGGTTCATCAGTTTCTCAGCTTTCGGGAAGTGGACTTGACATAATGTGCAGGCAAACTGCCCTCCTTTCCTTCGAGACTTTGACTGTGGTGTCCTTTGATTTTGTTTTGTCATATTCACAATCTTAGGAATTGTCAGTTTTTCATGCTTCATGACGTTCCATATTGCTGCTTCCTCTGAGCTCCTAGCAAAGGTACATCTACTTCCATGCTGCTTGCATCCAGTTTCTTTAGTGTAGTACTGACAAACAACATACTTGCCAGGTCTGGGACGGCCTGGCCGGTGGGCAACAGGCCTCCACACTGAATTTTTACGTTTCCGCTTGATCAGCAAGATGTCTTCGGAACAGTCATGGATGACCTGGTTAAGTGAGTATGAAATCTCATTGTGTTTTTTACAGCATTTATTACATCTGACACACAGACTGAACCTCGTTTTTAACGTTTGAAGAAAATTATGATTTCCTGCAAGAGCCATGATTTAGAATACATGAAAGCCCTGTGAAAAGAAATAATTTGCAATTAGAATAAGATTTCACAACGTCCATTTACAACTTATTTTTTTTGTTATTGTAATTATGCATTCTAATTTTGATCAGTTAACATTTTCAGCCTTCAGACTTAATGAACATTAGCTGTAAGAAACATATCTTTACATACAGTAATTCACGTTTTTTATAAAAGGCATGGTAATTAAAAAATTATCAGCCTGCCAACACAACTTTTACATTTAGATGAATATAAATGCAAAAACAAATACTATGTAAGTGCTGTTATGACACAATAAGCACAATCACACAACTACTTATCTGTATTTGACATAAACTGCTGATTAAAGTTAACACCTTATAACAATAACTTCATGACACCGTCTCTTAAAGCAGCACTATGTAACTTTTGGCGCTCTAGCGGTTAATAAACAGAACTGCACACATCCTGCGGAAGAACATTCCAACCGGAGCTACTTCTCTAAGTTTATGTCTATGGCGATTCACGCAGGTATGTGTTACTCCGCAGCGGTGACGACCCGACCAGGCTACAATAGTCCAAATATAAGTACTTATTATAAGTGTACCGTAGTGATTCGGAATAAGACAAAAACGCGGTTTGGAAGATGAATTCATGATGTACTCGCTCATTATATACATTTCGCAAATTTTGAACACAGAAAAAGTTACATAGTGCTGCTTTAAGGAACAGTTCACCCAAATGAGATTAAGAAATGATTTATTCACTCAGTCATGCTGGGTAACACAAAAGGGGATGTTTATCAGAAATAGAGACTTGGTCTCTATCCACCTTTTACTGTATGGAAAAAATAAGCAATTAAAGTAAATGATGACTGAAACTACAAGCTTTTGTATTCCACAGATAATAATTTAAACATTTCCATAGCTTCATGAATTATTTTCCATTAAATAATATACTGTACACAAATGAATCTGGCAACATGAATTAGTAATGCATAGCATCATCCTACCTTCATATTTTCTTTCTCATCCCAAAAGTTTAGTAATATGTCACAATCTTCCTGTAACACTGGATGATTCAGCCACTCTGCATCAAGATGTGTTTAAACAATTTATAGAGATGTTGCTGAGCGATGCTGGATAAGTCACTCCCTTCCTAATTAAAGAATAACTTTTCTTTTCCAGCACAGTGCGCTTGTACTGAACAGTGCAAACACAGTTTTAGCTTTCAGTTTCAATACTGATGAAAACCACAGGAAGCAAACAGACAGAGCTTAAAGGGACTGTTCACCCCAAAATGAAAATTCTGTCATCATTTACTCACCCTCATGTCGTTTGCCAGTTGGTTTGCCAGTTGGTGGTTGCCATTGACTTCCATAGTATTTTTTTTCTTCCTACTATTGAAGTCAATGGCAACCACCAACTGTTTGATTACCAGCAATCTTCAAAATATCTTCTTTTGTGTTCAACATAAGAAAGCAACTCATACAGGTTTGGAACGACAAGAGGGTGAGTAAATAATGACAGAATTTTCATTTTTGGGTGAACTATCCCTTTAAGCCTGCCCTTTTATCTACAAACTGACAAGCAAGTCTTAATGTAAGTTGTTTCCTATTAGACTTTTTAAAAGGATACTCAGAGATACAAAACTAGGACATTACAAAATTTTATTACTATTATACTTACTAATAATCCTTACAACCAAATAAAAAAAAATTTTTATTCAAAAACTTCCCCTGCATAGAACTGTAAAGTAAGACTTCAGGTTATCGCACATGATTTTATATGTGGAAAATAAACATGCCTGAAGTGACTATAGACTGGAATGGTACACAAATGATTAAACAAATCAGGTCAATAAAACTGCTTTAATGGTACCTTGAGGACTGACATCATGTGTATTTGAAGTGTTAATAATTATTCATCTACCGCCTGTCCACTCCCTTTCAGTGCCATACTATTTTCAGATCCGCCTACCTACAAGAACCCAGGAGATACACACACACAAAACAAATGTTTTTGCTGCAATGTGTCCTTAGCTTGTCTAGCTTTTCTAAACAAACAAAACAGCTTAAGTTTCATTTATCTGTAATTTCTGTCACACTTTGGCCAGTGTTCGCCTTAGACACACAATGACACGAATGCAAACACATCCATTTTACTGAGCTTTTATGATTGTTTTAGTAATTGAGAGTATAATCTTATCAATAGCAATACTAGTGGTTTAGAAACTATATTCAGAAACTACTGGGTCAAGAATTTCCATATTCAATACCTAATTAGACACTTAGTCATAGACAATCAAAAAACTTGCAAGAGACAGAAACTTCACAGATACTTAGGAGATACTAAATTGCTTTTGAGGGTGATAAACAACAGCAAATAATGTTAATCTAAAAAAGCCTGATGTGCTGTCAACATAAATAATCTCTTGGATGCCTTCTTAGTTTCCCTCAGTTGCAAAAATGATAGACACCTTATTACGAACTTGTGCTTTAATCTTATTTTAAATGGTTTTTTAGTAATCATTTAGCAGCATGTTGCTTAGACATTCCACTTTCAGGTCACTGAAAAACAAACCAAAAAATCCGAGTCTGTGAGCCTTGAAATTCATCTAAACTACCAACGTGAATGAATCATATCCTAAAAAGTGCAGTGTAAATGTGGATACAGTCATGGTTTTTGGTTTTGAGATTCAGCCCTGCTAAATAACAACCAAGACCAGACTAAATGACCAGTTCGTGCCATTGCTGGTTACAAATAAGGTATGTTTTGACAATTTCATGCTGGTTTTAGCTCAACCACTCGGTTAGCTGCAACAACAATCATCTTAATTAGCTCATGTCAGTAACTTACCAGCAATGCCAATCTAAAACAAGTTAATCTTGGAATTTAAGCTAGTCTAATTAGTATTTTTTTCAGCAGGCAGATAAATGTCATGGCCAAAAGTATGTGGACACCTCTTACTAATAAATGCATTTGACTAGTCAAATAATTACAAATCTTAGTGTTACTCCATAAAATGATATCCTTGAGAATTGTTCAAAAGTTTTAATCAGTTTCAGCATGATAAAGTCCTTGTGCACAAAGCAGGTGACTGCGATTCTGCCAAGTAGGGCATGTTCCTCGATCAACATCAGCCAATCAGACTTTAGAAATATAGGTAGAAGGGTTTGGCTCAGGACTGGAGTTTGAGCAACATTCTTATCAACTGCCCTCAGATTTTAGCCACAATTTTTGGTAAAGGTTGAGTTTAGGGATAGGGAGAGGACTTTTAGTTCTAGGATCAATGGATGATGTTGATTTAGGAACATCACACAAGTCTAGGTCCATTAAGAAACGTGAAAGATCTTGGTTTGCACAAATTCCAGACCTGAATACCTTTGAGAAGAACTGGAACACTGACTCCCAGAAGAACTGCAGTTGTTAGGAAGGATGAACTGCCTATTAATGCCCATGCTTCTGAAATTAAACAATCAACAACAAGCACGTATGGGTGTGGTGTTTGGGTGCTCACATACTTTTGTCCACTTAGTGTATGTGGGATGCTGTTATATGCTCAGACGTTTATTGATAAGGAAAACTGATAAGGTGAGTCTGATATGACCTCTTTAGACAGTGTGGCCAGAGAATGAGATATTCTCCAAATGCAGTCATGATTGGACGCCTCACGACTCTGAGTGTCCTTAGCCAGAGAGCTCAGTGTGAAGTTCCTTATTCTTACAGACTTCTGCAGCATGAAGCTCCTGACAAAGAAAAGAGAGACGGTGTAATAAAAGTTAAATAAATATGAACTGTTTTGTAGCAACCAGGAAGGAAAAAGAACTAGTTCTCTTTTTTACTGACAATAAAGTACAGATGTAAGCCTGTTACTTCAGAAAAACAACATGCAATAGGAACTGGGTGGGCCATGCGATTTTCTTGGATCAGCTACATTTTGCGGTTAGGTTTCTCCTCGGTCATCTTGCTGTAGTTGTTGTTGATCTCCTGGGCCTTGGTGAGCACCTGCTTCTCCTGAGACTACAGAAAGAAGTGCAGAAAGGTGATGACAAATTTAATGTGAGACAGTGAAGAAAACTTATTACATTTAAAAAGTGCAAAGGTGAGAAGCCAAACAGCGAGACAAACTCATGAAAACAGCCCAACAGCAATGGACACATACTAAAGAGGACTGTATAAGATGGCAATACCACTAATTGCCATATTCATATGGTATCTACATGCTACATGGTAAAGTCTTAAAAACTACGTTGCTACGTTTACTGCATTAGGCTAACCGAGACTTGTCATAGCGCTTGCATATTGTTGCTCTTTTGTTGGTTTTGATTACATCTATTGTCCTCATTTGTAAGTCGCTTTGGATAAAAGCGTCTGTTAAATGACTAAATGCAAATGTATTTTCGAATAAAATCAAATTTATATCAGGCACATCAAGGTCAGCTCAGTAGAGCTGTTTGTGTCCTATGGCACTACTACAGTTAACTGTTGCTATTTATTACGTGCAGTCATGCATGCAGTGAACAGAGCAGAAAGCAGCGCGCAGACAGATGAAACTTTCAGTGAGTGGGAAAAAAAAGTTGATGGGTCCTTAAAAAGTCTTAAATTTAGTTGCATCAAATTTAAGGCCATAAAAAGTAAAAGGCCTAAATGTTTGTGCACTTTTATAGATCATGTTAGTTACATAATGGGCGATAAGTAGCCTAATGTAAGTGCAATCCATTAACTACGCATAAAACTCATCTTTTTACTTAAGTACCAGATATGGTTGTCTTGCCATAAAATATTTTTAATATGACTGTCTTTGTATTTAACATGAATTTAATAAAAACATTGTAAGTTAATTACAACGCTTTCATTGTACAGAAAGAGAGCAAAGAACATTTACACAATCAATGAACATTATCCTCGACTTCAGTCTAGCCAGAGTTCAACCACTTTCAAAAACTCCCATTATAATCACTGAAACTGTTTACACTGTGAAATGAATATATTCTATAATAATAGTTGAATATTTACCATGGTACACACACAAAAGCCTCATATCTACAACCCTGGAATTGTTTCTGTTAGAGAGTATAGTTTAGTTAGAGCATGTAAACGCTGAAGATCTTTATATATACAGTATATATATATATATATATACATATATGTATATATGTAGAGTTAGGTTAGAGGTTTCATTGTAAGTTGGTTTTGGGTTTTGTTATATATATTATATATTATTATATTATTTCTTTTCTTTGGCGCCGATTGCGTTCCTTTTCCCTTGGGTTTATTTATTTGTTTTGGGTTAATTTGACTTGTGTAAATATTAAATGTGTATATATATGTTTTTTTCACCTAATTCTTTATTATTTAACCTTTTACGTTTGTACAATAAATTCCACTGGTTTTGGCAGTATTTTGTTGGACGTTTGGTTTCTTGCCACCATCACTTTTCCCAAATTGTTTACAAACTAAATGTTACCTCTTATTCCCTTAGACCTACAATCTAAAGTCGGAACACCTGTATCGACAGTTGTGCAAATTATGTAATGAGCTGCACAGTAAACATAAATTATGAAATATATTACATTCACAGATACATCTTTTTACATGCAAACAAATAAATACAGAACATTCAGGTTCTTGCATTACAGTTATACACTCATAGACACAACGGAATACAAATAATTCAACAACATCTAAAAATATGTCATATAGTTACTAATTGCAAATTGCCTTACGATTTGTTTATAATATATGCTATCACAGCACCTCTAAGTGGTCAAACATTAACATTGCAATAGTCATAGTCTACTGTTAGTCTGCTGTTGCGGTAAAATTGATTTGAAGATTGAGGTGAATAAAAATTTCCTTCATTTCTATATTTCATAATTACATGGACAGAAATGTCACTTTATCTTTGTTTTTTAAATTTATTTATAGATGTACAAAATTAAGATTTGTTCTAACAAATTTAATGCTAAATGTTTTTTCTTCTTTATAAATTTATGTTTCAGTAATGCAAACTTGAAACTTAGCAAAAATGCTGAAATTAAAATAAAATTAATACAATATAATTTCCAAGAAGACTAAAACAGACTAAAGACGTTTAATATTTAATTAAAAGTTAATATATACTAAAGTGCCATTCAAGAGTAGTTATATATATATATATATATATATATATATATATATATGATATTAATGTATAGCACTAATATCCAACAGATCTGACAGTGCAATGTTCCCTGGTGTCAATTTTCAAAAATTTCACAATACCACAACACACTGCACTGCAGCAAGTTCTCATTACCTGTCAAAATAGCAGAATTATGGCACTGTAATCCAAGCATCAAACATAAAACTGTTGATAATAATAAAATACATAAAGTAGACATATTAAAAGGAGGTTTTGTGTTATTATAAAATATAATATTATATATAAATATAATAAAAATGTGATGTGTGCATTATTTTGCATTATTCAAAGAACTTGCAGGTGTTCAGGTTATCTAATCATTCACATATTATAGACTCCCACAATCCTAGACAGTGTAACTAACCAATGATGCACAGGCCTTCTTGTGCCCTGGTAATGCCCACGTTAACTTGGTGTGGGTCCATGATGAATCCAAGTCGATTTATTATCCAGGATTTGGTTGGTTGTGTTTCTATGGTGGATTCAAATATGTTGCATCTTTGTTCAGTGCAAACATAATGAAATGAAAGTGCTAATATCCAAATCAGGGTTTGTCTAAAAAGAACATTGCTTTGGAGCTCACCTGCTCAGGCTTATGAGCCACTAGTGGAATAAAGGCTTCAGGTTCAGTTGCCATGGCACATTCATCAATGATGATCTGTTTGAAGTCGAGGGCATCAGCTAAGGCAGGGTGTGAGGCTGCTGTGCAAGTGCACAAGATGACATCATACTGCAATAATTCATGTTTTGGAGGGTTTCTCTGTAGCTTTAAAAAAAAAAAATTTTTATTTATTTTTTAATTATTTGTACTTTAAGCTTTTCATTTCAATACAGCTGTTTCCAAACTATTTCTAACAAACAACAAACAATAAAATAGAATCAAAAAGAGATTTGTAGTTAATGAGCCATACATACAGTTTTTTTTCTTCATCAGTGAATTGAGCTCCTCTTCTAATTTTCATATCAAAAGCTAATATTTGTGTGGAATATGGGTTGCCATCTTTTCGAATCAAGTGGTGTAGTGCAATGGAACTAATAATTCAACAAAAACAACACACATCTGTTAGTGGAAAGCAAGGTTTAGATTTTATAAACACATGAATATTACATCGGCAGTTGTATCTACACTCAAATAAGTGATAGATGGACAGTATTTGGCAAATACCTAAGCTCTGTGTTGGGTTTTTCGCCTCTTTTTGAATTCCGTGACAGCTTCAGATTGCAGCCTGGGTAAGGAAATTCCAACATCTCCGTCTGATCACTGTAGACTCTGAGAGGTCTGAGTTGATTTTGAAGTTTTAGGAGATGACCTGCAACACATTCATATAAAAAAAGTTTAGGTTGTGATCTTTGGTCAGGTAATCTCCTTTGAAAGTGAATTGCGTAATTCCTGCTTCACTAGTGGGACCAAAATGAAAAACATAATTGGCTATACAGAAAATTTACCTGCGACAACATCAACTGATTTATTTGAGGGGCCACAGTACAGAACAGCTCTCTTCTTCTCTGAATTGGTGGCAGGAAGCTGTTGGATATTTTTGAGCAACCAGTACACAATATGGACACCAACAACAGTTTTTCCAGTCCCTGTGAAAATGCACAACAGTAATATAATAGGGAAGGAATGGAAATTGCAATAGCCTAAGGCCAAAGAAACCAAAGAAAGTCCAAAAATATCTCTAACCTGGTGGTCCTTGGATAAGAGTGAACGGGTTGGTCAGTTCTTCTCTTATAGCTTTGGACTGACTGTTGTTTAGATCAGAAAACCCAGAAGGGAGATAACCGTTAAACCGATAAATCTCAAGGATGCACAACAAACAGCTGAATTGCTGGTGTCATTAGTCCTCGTGCCGTGGCTGTACCTAGCTGTACTTCGACTGCCTCACCTGGCTTTATTCTCATCGACAGTTTGGCATAATGCTCAGCGTACATGGGATCAGATTTTTCTCAACTTGTAGCATCTCTCAATCTTTCATTGAATTGTCTTGCATGGATTCTTGAGCTGACGTCAAGTTCCTCAATCAGGGGAAACAATCTGTCCCAATTTTCCTCTCTAAGAGCAGCTGCTAGGCATTTCCAGCGCTTTGTAGAGACATAGGCCATGACTGAGTTTGGAGTTTGCTGTTTCACTTCAGCAAGGATGTGAGGATTGGAGAATGAATATATCCTTCGCACCCATTTCAAGATCATGCAGTTGTTGGTTTCATCAAACTGTGGTTGATCTGCCAACTGAAGATCCCTGTACATAATGTCTAAGTTTTCTGATATAGAGGTGCTGTTAAGTGGGAAGGATAATCTGAAGTTTGTCCCTGATGCATTGAGTTCCACAATGTATGCCACCTTCCTTTCGCTTTGGGTTGACAGTTCTATTGCAAAATGTAGAGCATTTGCTTTCCTCTCATATGCTGACGGTTGGTCATTTTTCCTGGGAAATTCCATACAAGACAGGTCAATGTCATGAGCTGTGTACCTAACATTTGTCTTGCCAATCACAGAATGAAGAAGACGCTGCACAATGACATCTGCATATCGGCGGATTGGAGATGACGCCCATGTATAGCTGTCAATATCTAAATCATAGTGGCCAATTCTTGAGACATGTGTTGAGTTTGAACGCAGAATACATGCTTTGTGAAACAGTCTCCTAAATGCCATTGCAAAGGGGAGAAGTTGGGGGTGAATCTCATCAGTTGCAATAAAGTCAATTATTTTGTAGATATTTTTCTGCTCTGCTGCTGTCTTCAAGCATCTCAAAACAGATTTTAATATGGGGAAGGTTTCAGAATCATAAATGCAAGCTTGAGAGTTTGGCATGGCTCTGCGGTGGATCAAACCT